TGCCATTTAAAGCCCTGAATTGGCTGAGGGCCCAAGTATCTTAGATAAGGCCTTCTCTCCTATCAACCTGACCCTGTTGTAATAGACCCTCCTGGTGATTTCTGTGTTGACTGAGGTGCATACTGCAGGGATCCATGGGATAGCCTTTTTGGTGTTGAAATGGCTTCCCCAATGATGTGTGCCACACAGCAACTTTGTATTATTTCAGGCACCAAATTAAAAGCCCACCTATTTCACTGAGCTTTTATCAGATGATGGGATTGTGTCATTTTAAAGGTGTTTTTAAACTATGCTATTTACAGAACTTAGGAGAATGGTTTTTGTTCATTATGTATTCTAATCCGTTTCTATATTACCTTATTTCTTTGTAAACTACCCATGACCAATTGGGCGTAGGGCAGTACAGAAATGTCTACCGTATTTTTCGCTCTATAAGACGCACCAGACCATAAAACGCACCTAGTTTTTGGAGGAGGAAAACAAGAAAAAAAAATTCTGAATCTCAGAAGCCAGAACAGCAAGAGCAATCGCTGCGCAGTGAAAGCAGCAATCCCTCTTGCTGTTCTGGCTTCCAGGATAGCTGCGCAGCCTGCATTCGCTCCATAAGACGCACACACATTTCCCCTTATAGAGCAAAAAATACGGTAATTAAAAATAAATACAAATAGATTTCTGCTCATTTTGAAAAATGCTTTGAGAGCCTTATAGGCATATATATGAGTCTGAAAGCTACTGGAGTGTGGAAACATACACATAAGCCAGGACAACATGCAGGTGCCCTTTGACCACCAGCTGTGTAGCTTGGCATTTGATAAGAGGCAAGAAAGAAGCAGATCACGGGTGAGGTGTAGGGATCCAATGTGTATGAATCAGATATGCAAGGCAGCCAGGTAGCAAATGATCCTCAAAGGCACACAACCCAACAGCATGATGATGATTATTTTGCATTGCTAACATTGTTTATATTACTAATATCCTTTATATTCTGCTTCCCGGCGACCTCAAAAATTAGCCCATGGAGCTATTTCCAATCATAAAGCAACAACTATTTCAAACTGGAGAGGGATCCAAGATCCACTTCAAGCACACTCCTTGAACATAAGAGGAGCCTGTTGGATCAGGCTAATGACCCATCTAGTCCAGTATCCTGTTCTCAAAGTGGCCAAGCAGGTGTCTATGCAAAGACCCAAGCACAAGAGCACTTTCCCCTGCAATTCAGAAGCTGGAATTCAGAAGCATTACTGCCTCTGACTTAGCAACAAGGCAGGATCTACAGTTATAAAATTATATACAGGGTGGGTAATGTGAGACCTTCCCTGGATGTGGCTGGACTACAGCTCCCATCACTGACCATTGCCAATGCTGGCTGGGGCTGATGGGAGTTGGAGTTCAACAACATCTGGAAGACCACGGCTTCCCAACCGCCAAATATAGATGATTCCTGAGAACTGCCCCTATGGTTAGGGGTGGGGAGTCATCACATACATGAGTCAGCTTGACTCCATCTCTGGGGGACACTCAGGGAGAACTATGCAGATGCAAGATTGGCCACATGAAGAAGCAGTTTTGAAAGAAAATTAAGAACACAGCCAAAGAGAAAGTCTAAGCAATTTTTTGTTTCTTTTGGACCAAAGTGTATGCATGCAAGCTTTCCCATTTCCCAGAACTCATCAGATACTTTTTGTGGTGCTGCACTAGAAAAGGCACTGTATAGCACAGCAGCATAATGGAAGAGGCTTTTGGAACAGAAGAGGTCTCCAGCCCAAGTTCAGCACTGCAATGTCTCCATTATGAAGGGTTCTCAGCGCTGCCTCGGGGATTGTAAAGAATTCAGAAAGTGAGCAGGTATCTGTAATGTCAGATTGAGGAATTGCAATGGAATTCTCATTGTTACCCAAGACTGCAGTTCTCAAGGTGTGGAAATCAAAGCACTTTTACAAGACAAATTAACAAATCTGCCTTTTAATCCAGAGTGCATTACTCAGTGTGGAAGGCAGCAATTTTGACAAAAAGATAATTCACATTATCATCCAAGATTACACTCCTTGTGGTTTCTTGGAAGGGGTGTGGGGACAGAAATCAAAGCATTCTTTAACAAGCGAGATTAAGAAATATCATTTTTAATAAAGAGTGTGTGACTCAGTGTGGAAGGCATCAATTCTGGCTGAAGGATGTTTCACTTCCAACATTGTAAGAAAAGCATCGTTTGTGGAAACGGCCTCTAACCATGTTCTTTAGAAAGACTTCTGTATAAGAGTGTGTGTTTAAAAAAAACAAGACCAAAGCATACTGGGTAGTATCCAGATAAGTCAAATTCAGAGGAGTCCCACTGAATTTAATGGATTTAGGTTAGCCACTAACTTGCCCTTTGATTTTAAATAGATATAGTCTGAATATGACAACCCACTTTTTGAATTTCCTGCTTTTAGACTGCAAATATAAAACATATGTTGGGGTTGCTAGCCTATTCCAAAACTGATTCTTCTTATTTCTGGTCTACCTCAACATTCATCTCTGCAAACAACCTGGAATAACCATGGATCAGAGGAACTTTTTACTGGCATGTGTCAAACACTCAGAGTTTGAGGGCTGCAGAAATAACCTTAGGCTACCATCAGAACAAGACAGGAGTGCCTGGCGTGCTCTGGTCCATGGGGTCACAAAGAGTCGGACATGACTAAACAATAACAACCATCAGAAATCTACTTATCTCACACTGATAACAGGGCATTTCTACAGCTATCGGATAATAGCCACAATGGCTATGTTTGACCACCGTCAAATATGGTATGCCTCTGGATAACATTTGCTGGAAAATCTAGGGCATGGATAGGCAAATAAGGCCCGGGGGCCAGATTCAGCCCAATCACCTTCTAAATCCAGCCTGCGGACGGTCTGGGAATCAGCGTGGTTTTCCATGAGTAGAATGTGTCCTTTTACTTAAAATGCATCTCTGGGTTATTTGTGGGGCATAGGAATACGTTCATTTCCCCCCTCAAAATATAGTCTGGCCCCCCACAAGGTCTAAGGGACAGTGAAAAAGTTTGCTGACCCCTAATCTAGGGAGTCTGGTTGGCCATAGTGAGGATGCTGAACTAGATTTTTCACCAGTCTGATCCAGCAGCCAGGCTCCTCTTATGCTCCTATGTTTTAGCTACACTTGGGCTTGGCAAGTCTATTTGAAGGCAATGGAGGGTGCCTTCAAACAAAAAACTGTCTTCTATAAAACAGGATACATAGTTGCCTTAATTATAAGCCTTCAGAAAATGGTACTCATCTCTTGTCCCCATTCCCAGGAATTCTCTCATGGTTCACAATATTGAAACGGGTGAAGTAACCATTCCAAATGCATGCATCTTAGCATCCTGGCGAAGAGTCACTTGTAAATCTCACAGCCCTCCTCCCAGAACACACAGAGACATCTGGATGGAGAACAACTATGATATCATGTCAAATGCAGATGGAGTATTGATCCAAGTGGAGAAGAGGCTCAACAAACAAAAGTTTGTTTAGCGGGGTCACAGCAAACAAGAAAAAGTACAGGGCTATGTAGCCTGAGCACCTACAAAGCAGGTTGGCTTGGGAAGAGTGGCCTCCTGAATGCTGACCGTGCACTCTCAGAATCTTGTCTTACATTCTGAGCAGAAGAAGAACTTGCATGGCTGGGAGTGATAATTACAAGGAGGATAAATATGGATTCTGAATCTGTCAAGTACAAAGTAGGGCAAGTGGGCCTGATTTGGACAAAGCCCAGTTGAAACCAAACCTGCTTGTGGGGATTAATTTTACTTGGGCCAAATCAAGACAGCCGTGGCCAGACTGAGCTGTCCAGAGTGAATTGGGACTGTCAGGGGGCAGGGCATGAGGTGAGAAGGCTGCAAGGCGTCTGCTTCCCTGAGTGCTCTCCACAGGGATTCAGAATTTAATCCCCCTCCACTCACCTGCTTGGTGAGTGGCAGATTCAATCCTGCAGGCTGCAGGGTGCTCTTCTGCAAGTGCTTTAAAAAGGGACCACAAGGCTCATCTAGCCCAACCCAACCCCCTGCAACGCAGGAATCTTTTCCCAACATGGGGCTCAAACTCCTGACCTTGAGATTAAGAGGAACAGCACTTGCGAAGAAGCAGCCTGCAGGGTTGACCCCCTCCTGTTCCTGAAGGGAGGGGGTTGGCACAGAATCTGCTCCTGCACCCCTCCTAACCATATGCTTATTTGGGGTTTTAAAAACCCCTAATGGAACGTTAGCCTTGCACCCACATTTATCTGAGGCTGCATCAGGTGTCCCTTGGGGTGGTGCAGATCAGGGGCAATCTTGGCTCTACAGATGTTCCCTGTGCCACACTTTGTGAGCGCCTGCCTCAGAACTCAAGACCTTTCAGGCAGAAAGTTTATGGTACTATTGATTTCAGGACTGGCCCCCTACCATAAGCCTCAGATGACAGTTGCTGAGGGGCAGACGGCAGCAGTCCCCATGGCCACCCCCCTTCTCTTGGAGGACAGAGCTGAGCAGATGTTGGAGCCACTTAGCTCGATGTGGTCTACAATGCCAGGTAGCAGCACTCTTAGTTTCTGGCGAAGGGCATTTCTGATCCGACCTAGAGACTGATGGACCCTGGGATCCTCTGCGCACAAAGACTGACGCTCCCCCGCCGAGTTTGGGCCCTTCCCCAACTGAAGGAAGCCGTAAAATTTAGAGAAAGTGGCGAGAGCTAGGAACGCGGAACTAAACCTGCTCCTGCCTTCTGCATCATCACCTGCCAGCAAGCCCCACTGAGCGCTAGGGCGGCTAGTTTCTTAGTAAATACGTTAAGGCTCAGGTGCGCGCCGCGCCGAGGAGACAACCGCGCCCACTTTTACGCGCAAGAAAGGCGCGATTTTATTTTATTTTAGATGGGGTGTGTGTGTAGGGAAACCATCTCGGTTCTCCAGCCTTTTCCCCCAACAAAAGAGCCTTTCCTCCCCCCCCCCATACAAGCCCCACTTCCTCCGCCGCCCCTCTCACCTCTTCCAGCGCCACCACGGCCCCCCGGCACTTCTGCAATTTGGAGGCGAAGCTGGAAGCCGCCGGCGAGCTGAGATCTTCCGAAGTCACGGCCACGAACTCGGAGACGCTGATCTGCTCCGGCATGTTGCTGCGAGAGGCGTAACCTTGGAGATCGGGGCGCAGTTGCAGCCGGGGAGAAGAAGGGAGGGAGATGGGGTTGTGGGGGAGAAAGTCATCCAAAAGTAAGGCAGAGGCGGCGAGGGAAAGGGAGCCTTCGAAGGAAGGAGGAAGAAGTTAAGAGTGACAGGAGAGCGAAGCGAAACCGCGGAGAAGTGGAGAGAAAAGAGGGAAGGGCAGAAGCGTGGCCAAATCCGTCTTTTCCAGCCCTTTCTGGTCAATTTCGTATCACATCCCCGAGGTTTGGCTTCTCTCTCTAGTGCGTAAATGACGAGCGGCGCCTCTTCTCCGACCTCTTGTAAGTTTCTTTCCCTCCCTCGGTGCCTGGCTGGTTGGAACAGAGGCTTTCATGGCAGTCACGTGGGGATATTGTTACGCCGCCGCTGCCTGCGAGCCTGCAAGCGCGGATTTTTGGCCCGGAGCCTGTTAAAGACAAAGTGCACCCAGTTGCCCTTGTTCCCTTTCTCCCCAAGCTGCGGAGATCCTCCTCTCTGGAAAAACCAGCAGCCTATCAACGCAGAGCTAAGGCGGTGCGCCTGATCCAGCACGTTTTTTACGCGCACGTAAGTTCCCGTCGAGTTTAATGGGGCTTACTCCCGAGTCAGTTTGCAAAGGCGCAGCCTTCTTGCAGTTGCAGCCCTAGCGATCGGGGCTTTACTCTCCAAGAGCGTTTTTGCTGTTGTTTTGGTGGTTCTCCAGTTTTGTTTTGCTTTTTAACTGCCGGTTTTACATACGCTCTCAGAGCTGCTCCGCGTTTCAAAGAGCCAGAAGGAACGTGTTGAAGTTTTGCCACGCGATTCTGCTCAGGAAAAGGCGCCCCATTTTATGCACAGTTTACCCCTCGCAGAGTTTCAATTCCCCCTCAACCCTTAACAAACTACAGCGCCCAGAATTCTTTGAAGGCGCGGCATGTGCTTTGAATGTGCTTTAAAAGGGATAGTGCGCACCCAGGTACGTAAAGCCAGGTCTCCTGCACAGAATATTTACAGCTTTTGAAATCTGGATCCCTTCATAGGGAAGGAGAAACACACACACTTAAGAGGTGTGGCTTGTTCCAGCACTGCAAAGCTCTTGTCTTCTTTTAAACGTTTAGTTATCTCATTGCCCGTTGCTGAACACTCTAGGCCAGACTTTGGCAACCTGGTGCCCTCCAGCTGCTTTGGACTACAACTCCCATCAGGCTCAGCCAGCATGTGCTGATGGGAGTTGTAGTCCAAAGCAGTTGGAGGGCACCAATTTGGCAAGTGCTGCTTTAGGCAGTGTCTGTACTCCCCACACCTGTCCTCTTCTTCACAAACAAGTCCAAATATATATATGTTTACACAGTGTAAAAGAGAAAGATTAATATCACCTCCCAATTTCCTTCCAGCCAGCTGATACCACCAAATGCTGTGCGAATCAGTTTGCTATGTCTATAATGTACAAAAAATATATAGGTGCAGGCCATAGCAACCCTGTGCATGCTTAACTGGGAAGAAGCTCAACTGAGCGCAGGCACATTTATACTGGAGAAAACATACATAGTTGTCAACCTTCATGGATAACTACCTACCTGCCTATTGGTTAAGAGCCTGAACAAACATGAAAGTAAAGCCCTCCCCTCTCAGTTCAAAGGGACCCTGTTTCAGGACAGTGAACATAGCATTTGCAGCCTCCATTACCACAGTAGCAAATATAAAAGAACAAGTCGATTCATTCTGTTATTATTTTTACTAATTAATTAATTAAGTGCCGACACTAATGTCCTAGAGCAGGTTACAGCAGCTAAAACACTATGCTGAAAACAGTTGGATTTGATATCCCGCTTTATCACTACCCGAAGGAGTCTCAAAGCGGCTAACATTCTCCTTTCCCTTCCTCCCCCACAACAAACACTCTGTGAGGTGAGTGGGGCTGAGAGACTTCAAAGAAGTGTGACTAGCCCAAGGTCACCCAGCAGCTGCATGTGGAGGAGCGGAGACGCGAACCTGGTTCACCAGATTACGAGTCTACCGCTCTTAACCACTACACCACACTGGCTCTGTAGTGTGCCGAAAGAGGTGTTTCTTTAGCCTTTGCCCAAAGCTGTACCGTGGTACCTCAGGTTACAGACGCTTCAGGTTAGAGACTCCGCTAACCCAGAAATAGTACCTTGGGTTAAGAACTTTGCTTCAGGATGAGAACAGAAATTGTGCGGCGGCAGCAGCGTGGTGGCAGCGGGAGGCCCCATTAGCTAAAGTGGTACCTCAGGTTAAGAACACTTTCAGGTTAAGAATGGACCTCCAGAACAAATTAAGTTCTTAACCCGAGGTACCACTGTATAATGAAGATTCCTAACACTCCTCAGTGGGGAGGGAGTTCTACAACTCTGGAGCTGCCACTGAGAAGGCCCTCTCCCAGGCCAACAGCTTCTGAAAGTGGTAGAACAAACAATACATCCTCTTCTGCCATTCTTTACTCCTAAGAGGGTCTATAGGGAAGGAGACAATCTTTCAGGTTTTGGGGGCCTGAGAAGTTTGTGGTTTAAACTAGTGTGAGCTCCTTGACTTGAGCCTAGAAACAGACGGGGAACTTGTGCAATCCATTTAGAACACTGCCTTTCAGTGTCAAAAACATTCCCAGGTCAGCTTACAGCTGCCACCATTTGCACACTGGCTGTCCTGGAATCTTTTAGTGAAGGGCAGTTCAGAAATACCTCAGATAAATAAAAACCTAGAGCAAAACAGTAACAATACAAACTGCAGCAATTGAAAACATTGCCATCACGTATTTGTAGCCCAGAATCCCTCAGCTTGGTGCCTTCCAGATGTTTTGAACTACAACTCTCATCAGCCCCAGCCATCATGGTCAATGCTCAGGGATGATGGGACCTTGTTGTTGTTTAGTCGTTTAGTCGTGTCCGACTCTTCGTGACCCCATGGACCAGAGCATGCCAGGCACTTCTGTCTTCCACTGCCTCCCGCAGTTTGGTCAAATTCATGCTGGTAGCTTCGAGAACACTGTCCAACCATCTCGTCCTCTGTCGTCCCCTTCTCCTTGTGCCCTCCATCTTTCCCAACATCAGGGTCTTTTCCAGGGAGTCTTCTCTTCTCATGAGGTGGCCAAAGTATTGGAGCCTCAGCTTCAGGATCTGTCCTTCCAGTGAGCACTCAGGGCTGATTTCCTTAAGAATGGATGGGTTTGATCTTCTTGCAGTCCATGGGACTCTCAAGAGTCTCCTCCAGCACCATAATTCAAAAGCACCAGTTCTTCGGCGATCAGCCTTCTTTATGGTCCTGTAGATGGGACCTGTAGTCTAGCAAATCTCCCATCCTATGCTCCAGACAATAAAGTTCCAGGGGACTTACTTTTGAGTAAACATGCATAAGAGGATTTAGCTGTATAAGAGGATTCTTTCTACCAGGTGCAAATACTCTGAGGACAACACTGTGGTGAAGTTGATTTGGTGCCCCCACCCCACCCCACATACTTCATCTGTAGACTCAGTATCAGCCAGCCTCTGCTTCTGGCTACGTCTAGAACAGGGGTCTGCAACCCGCGGCTCCGGAGCCGCATGTGGCTCTTTTACACCTTTGTTGCGGCTCTGGGGCAGATACTAGCGAGGGGAGGAGGCGCATTGTGCGCCCCGACACTCCCCACTGTGGCGGGCGCTGTACTGGCTGTGACGTCGCATGGGGGCGGTGCGTGCGTTACGATCCTGTATATATAGCATTAAGGTAAGAAACAATATATGCAGTGTTATATTTGTTTTAAATGTAGCAATGGTTTTGCGGCTCCCAGTTTTTTTTTCTTTGGAAACGGGTCCAAGTGGCTCTTTTTGTCTTAAAGGTTGCAGACTCCTGGTCTAGAAGGACCACAGGATGCCAACTAGGAACATGATGCTGCCAGACTTGTATCAGTGCCAGTGTTGATGGCATGCCACTCACAGTCGATTCCTGCAAGCCTCCAGATTATCTAGGACTATTTTGTCTCCTTGAACCAAAGGGTGTGTAATCACTCTGTACAGGACATTGTTTCCTGTGGGCAAAACAAGCCTGGGCGTGGTCTCTCAGTCATTAACCTGGCTTTGTTGTCCTCCCTCCTTTAAAAAGCTCTTCTAAAGTGGAAAAGGCAGTTTGGCCTCTTTAGCCATTGCAGTTTGTGCGAGAGAGCAAAAGGTCAGGAGGCTGCGACCAGGATCTCTTTCTCCCCTGTTCCTTTCTCACACTCCTTTCTCCCTGCATTTGCATCTTGCACCCAAGAGCTTTCTCTACAAGGGCAAATCCCCAGACATGCCCTGGGTTTTTGTTTTCTTTTTGCCAAAAGTTCTATGTGGATGACAGAGCGCCTTCTCAAGGTCTCCCTGCCCAGCCAATCAATAAGACAGGATGACTCTGGCATGGACCCAAATAAATGACTCTCAAGGAGAGACAGAAATATAGTCACTTTAAGTCTGCCAGGGATTCACTGCCCCTGCTCTTTAGGCCTCTGACAGCTGGGTAAGAGGCAGAAGTTCACCAGGGAAAGCTCTCCCAACCATGTTATCTTCCACCAGGAAAATCTCCAGCTGTTCAGTTTCTGCCTGTTATGCAGCTGTTTATGGACCAGAAAACGAGGTGTTACTATTGGTATATAAAGCCCTCAACAGCTTGGGACTGATTTACTTGAAGGACATATTGCCCCATTCATATCTGCCCACTCTACAATCTCTCTCTCTCTCTCTCTCTCTCTCTCTCTCTCTCACACACACACACACACACACACACAGGAGATGATGGAAGTACAGCAGCAGAGAGGTCATTCAGCATGCAACTTAAGGGTTAATCACGTTAGTGTTAAAGTCAACTAAAAAGAGGGGGACAGGTTAGGTTTGCTTAGCAACCAGGCGAGTGGCATGTGTTCTGATTGGCTGCATGGTTCTGAGGGAACTTTTTTCTGTATGTTTGGTTGAGTGTCACCCTGCTATGTTCAAGGCCTGAACAAAGAAAGACAAAACCTCTCTACTTATTTCTTCTCAAATTATACATTGCTTTTGTTCTGTTTGCTTAGTAAAGTGTTTTAAAGACTTTTCTCACTGGGCTTGTGTCTGTGTTATTGAAGTGACTTTTGCTAATAGGGTGCAACAGAAAAAGAGTTTTAGTCTGTTCCTCATCATTTTAGTTATTTATTTCTTCCTTTGTATGCCACATACTTGGACTGACCATGTTCCTCACAGTGGGTAATAACGTTTCCTCAGAAGCCCTTCCCCTTGGACTACTTCCAAATGAGTCTTGCTTTGGAATGTGGCCTTAAATATTATTCCAGAAGGATTAAGGGCACGCGCTTAACAATCCTATTGGATTCAATCAGCTTTAAGAGAGCTGAACAATCCAATATAGGAATGCTGAAAGCTACCTTATACCAGGTCAAACTAATTATCCATCTCTCTAACCTGGTACTTGCCAGCCTGACTGCAGTGGCACTTTCAGCCTTGTCCAATCTGCTGCCCCTCCAGATGTTCCCATCTTTAGCCGAGCTGCTGGGAGTTGTGGTCCAAAACATCTGGCTCCTGCTCTTTTCTGTGTTCCTGCTGCTCATTCTGCCGAGTG